CAGCTTAAGATTAGTCTTGTGCGGATCTCAGCATCCGGCGAGGACTGCAAACATCGATAAATATGGTACACTTGAATTGGTCATCTGACAAACAGCGTAACTTGAAGTGTGCACACTCACGGCTGGCCATGTCTGCCAATGTCACACTTGACGATTTTCAAACAGTGATAACGAATGATGAAGAGTGATGAAGGCTCACCGAAAATTCAGCTAACTGTGGTGCCGCTTCAGGAAAGCTGAGATCTTTCGGCTGTTTTGGAAGTATTCCACCAATGAGCCTCGAATGTGCATTTGTGCCAAATTTAAGGAGCAGCAATCTCGATTTCCAGGGGGCGTCCTGACGGCTGAAATCCGTTCTGAACGTATCCCCCCATCGTCTGAACCATGCATCGAAAGTTCTTCCAGAATCAGGATTATAATTGAATTCAGTAATGGAATTGGACAGATCAACGGAACTTGCCAGCCTGTCCCGTGAAGCTGTTGCTGAAGAGTGCAGGCTGAGCCGCTGCGTCAAAGTTTCAATCAGCTTCAGTTGCGCCTCGATTTGTACTTGCTTTGCTGTAGCAGCACTTGAAATTGCTCTGCACAAAAATGCATCGCATTACGAGTTATATCTGTTGTCATTTGTTTTGATCTGCGCTTTGGTATGTGATTCCAAATGAACTAAATTATGTACCTGCCAGCTCCGAATCCCAGTCGAAAAGCATCAGTCAGAGCTTGGAGGCAAAAGTGTGTTGAAGAACCAGCTACCGAGACGGACACAAGTTGTGTGAAATCAACGGACATTTATAAGTCAACCAAGGCTTTACGGCCTTCCCAAAACCCACAAGCCTACCTGTCCTCTTCGCCCGGTTTTGGACATGAGAAACTCTCCATACCACTCGATCGCTCGTTGGCTGGTGGAACTTCTTGAGCCAGTACGTAGACGGGTCGCTGTACATACCCTAAAGGACACTTTTGCGTTTGTAGATGCCGTGCGTGATGTCAACATCAAGAACCAAACTATGTGCTCTCTAGATGTCACCTCACTGTTCACGAATGTGCCTTTATTTGAAACGATTGAGTTCATTTGCAACTTTGTTGACGAGAACCATCTTAATATTGGCATACCAACTCTGGCACTGAAAGAATTACTGCTAAGGTGTACATTTAATGTTCAGTTTCTATTCAACGGGGATATATACCGACAGCGCGATGGAGTTGCAATGGGTTCCCCGCTAGGACCATTCCTCGCTGATGTTTTCATGGGTATGTTGGAACAGGGTAAATTGAAAGCGGTCATCAGTAGCCTCACGTTATATCACCGTTACGTAGATGACATCTTCGTCCTACTTGATACCTCCGGTAACATCGAGAAGCTCACCAGCGTATTTAACCAAGCCCACAAGGCTATACAATTCACCTACGAGGTAGAAGAAAACGGCGCATTCCATTTTCTCGATGTAGCTCTACAAAGACTTGAAGATGGTGCGATAAAACGTAGCGTTTACCGAAAGTGCACTTGGAATGGACAGTACACAAACTTTCATAGCTTTGTGCCGCTTCGGATTAAGAGAAACTTGGTCCTCAGTCTCGTGAACCGGGCCGAAAGAATCTGCTCGAAGGATACTCTTTTCGAAGAGTTGCAACTAATACGAGCGACACTAAAAGAGAATGGCTACCCAGAGAATTTTATTAATGCGAATATGGGGCGAAACAGGGAAGCACCTATGGTCCTGACGGCGGAACGGAAACCTATCTTCCTACAACTGCCTTACAAAGGGGAAATAGTATCCGAGAATCTATCCCGCCGTCTCACGTCCACACTCAGGAATACCTTCCCAGCGGCGAGGTTGCAAATCCGGTTCACCAGCAGCCCAATGGTGAGACTAAACCTCAAGGATAAGCTGCCTGTCCACACCAAATCAATGTGTGTATACTCATTTACCTGTTCCTGTGGGGCAGGATACGTTGGTCGTACGACAAGACGCTTATCCGAAAGGGTGAAGGAACACCATCCGGCCTGGCTCGGAAATGGAGGCCGAAAGGTCACCAACTCTGCCATCGCCACGCATCTTGCGGATACGGGTCACGCCACCAAGTTGGCTGACTCGTTCAAAGTAATCTATCAGGCCCCAGAAAATCGATCAGGGTATTTCCGTAAGCGGATATTAGACGCCGCAGAAGCCATCGCCATTCGGCTGTACGAACCAGCACTGTGCACGCAGAAACGGTTCACTCACGCGTTGAGCCTACCTTGGCCAGGATGGACTGCAGTTGACCTGTACGCACGTACGAATACAACTGTAACCTAACCGAAGGTGTGTCACAGCGCACTAAGATCAATTTGGTTGACTGACGACCCGTTGGGTCTGTATACTAAAAGTTTGCATTTCATGTAATTGTACAAGCCTGATGAAGAATTACCGAAAACATATGTTCGCTTACACAGACTCCCAACCAAGGAAAGTTCATGTAACAGAACAGTTGCGTTGGCTGTCCTGACTGGTAGATCAGTTCCGTTAGCCAATGGGAGGGCCAGCGTGCACGTCATGTGGACGCGAACGTTCCCGAAATGGCTTGCGGTTTAGGTAGTCCCTTACTGGCCTAACTTGTTTTCCCAATGAATTAATGTTTTCCTGGGATATTTTACGCTCCCTGACACATATCAGGAGATCAAACAAAGTCGAGACGCGTAGTAGAGTGCAGTGTTCTTGAGCGGGCAACACTCATTTTCCATACGCTTCAGTTATGTCCTAGTGAACGAACTGGTCAAGGCTCGCTTCAATGTGAACCATAGTCCACATTGAGATTGTGTGTCACAATCCAATCGCAGAATGAGCACTTCGAACGACCCTCCAATTAATCAGGTCCCCCGTTGGACTGATGACTGGAACAAACATGTGTTCCTTTGAACCCAGCACCCCCAAGAGATATCTCAAGGCAGTATGATGGCCCAACAACTAGTAGCAATCAACCGATCCGGCAGTCCAACCAGGTGTATATTTCCTCGAAGTTATGCCAAATGTGAGGTATATTCGCCTGTTGGTAAGGTCCATGCATTATTTCGAAATGTAAATTCCTAAAAAATGACTGGACGTAGATTAAGGATCAAAGGAAAATTGCGGAACGACGCATGAAAAGGCATCAGCAGTACGCTGGTATGTAGTACCGACGCTTTGCTGCTGCGCAACCACTACCAGTCACGCGTTGGCTAGGGATACTGAAAGGGTCACCTTCCCACTACGCAGGCTTGAACCCGCGATCTCAGGATTACAAGGAAGGTTTGTGATCCTTAAAGCCACGAGCTAGCGATGTATGTATGATATGCAATGGCTATTGTTTACTTGACAAATTTGGTGGAACTCAAAATTAATGCATTTGAGTGGATCCAACAGAAAGATCAGTGAGCATTTCGAGCTCGAACACTTAGCTGGACTAAAACGAACTATCGAGAAGGTGGGATCCTTTTATTGTTGCCGCTCATAATCCCAATCGGCAGCAGTCCAGAGATCCTCGTATATTAGTTCCGTCGGTGATGGCGGTTGGCATAGACAAGAAGAAGGATGTGATGGCGAGAGAAATGCTCCAGAGAAGATTTCACTTGGTGGGAGATCGAACGGCGCGTTGAAGGGCGTTTCAAACCGATGTTTGTATAATGAGAACGACAATGTGTATTTCAATCAATCAATTCCAATCAATCATTAACTGTCGTACCTGCCGTGACCCGGTGGTTTAGGGGTAGAAACCCCGACTAACATCCCAATGGTCCCGGATTCGAGGCCCGCTATCTCTACTGAATGAGAGCAAAAAAGACGTAACGCGTGATGGAGGCCATTGTTTTCGGGAACGCAACACCCAATATACACATGCCTCAGAAGTTACCGTTCCAGCGATCGATAGGACCGAGGTTCACTAAAATGGGAATCGCAGTCCACATTGAGATTGCACGCTGCAATCCAGTCACACAACGTGTACTTCAAAATGACACTCCAATCAGAACGGCAAGTGGTTTACTCGACTACGCAGTGACCAATTTCTTCAAAACACAAGTACAATTTTAGCACAAACATTTGTCAGATAACATCTTCGCGGTGATTGGCCATCGAGATTTCAGCAGCAGATCACAATGATAATGGAGCGGTCACCTTGCGTGAGATATATGTGTATGGGCCACACATGAAGCATGTGAACGGGGAGTTCTTATATTCCAAGAATTGCTCCCCAATCATTGTGATTACACTGGTATAAGTGACGGAAGGGAATGAACAGTCGATAAGAATGTGAACTAACACGAGGATACTTCCACTTATTGGGCGTCCGGATAGGCTAATACAATGGCTAGAATGTTACTGGATGTGGCGTAGTCATGAAATCGTTGGCGTCTTTGCAGTGGTTTTCTTGTTACTGACTCTTAAGCAATGCGCAGTAACTCTTTCGCAAAAGCACTTAGGCCCATTTTGTGGCTCAGAATGACGGTGACGAGCGCGCCCCTAAAGGGAAGACCTATTGCCCTAAGTAGTGACAAAGAGAACCGCTAGTTCAACTATCAATGTATACAGAAAGCATCCCTAGCTACAATGTGGAAAAGGATGTCAGGGCCAGTTGTCAGTATCGCCAGTCAGTGCCTGTCGATGGTGAGAAATTCGCGGTCAAACGTTCAGGCGGGTGAAAGTGATCCGCAACAGCTCATAGACGCATAAGACATTGACCGAAACAAGGTTCAAATCAGTATATGGTAAACGGTCCAATCAACAAACCATTCCGCAGACGCACATGCCGTAGTGTATGAATCAAAATGCGGCTGTCTCTAGTACTACGAAATTTGCCCTTCTCGTGAGAACTATCCAACCGAAAGCAGTTTGAATAAAATCATACGTTCCTGGTTAGAAGACGTTTACAGATGATTCAATGGAAACACATTCAAGAAAAGTAACAAACATGACGAGAATTCAATTCAGAAACGGATTGTGCGAGTACACAGCGATTAGTGGAATACAAGTATGGGCAGAGTGACCTACTTTCCCAAGTCAGCTCGAATAAGTGGAAAGTCGACTGCTATTCGAGTTTCGTCTGGTTCTTGATCCCCATCGTCAGCATCACCGGCACGCTCTGGGTCATCCTCAGCAATGCTTCCGTCTGCCGCCCCGTCGTTCGTACCATCGGAATCAAAATGCTCGCGCACGCGAACCATTCCAGACGACTCCAAGGTGGCATTAGGTTGTGCGGACCGTTCATCATCGGCGGAACGGGAGTCCATCGTAGAAGAGTGTGGTGAACTTGAATCGCCTGAATTAATATTCTTCCGTTCAGAACCCAACTGATCCTCTTGGCTAACGTCAGATTCATCATTAGTCTGTTAGAAGACAAGTAGCATGTCATGAATCAGCCTATGTTGAGTGAACAGTAAGCTCCCGGTAGACTACTACCAGCATCGATTAGCTTCATCGGTAGATTATCTACGAAGCTATTGCAATCGGGGTAAACTGTAACAATAAGAAGGGAGGAAAAAGGGAGATGATAAGCTGAGGGCAATTCAGTTTAGTGCAACAGTACTTTGTACATTGAAGGTGCAAAGTACATGCCGAAGCGTACAGCGCTGCATACCAGTCTGTTAAGTAGCGTTTGAATATCCACTGCGTCAGACCCAAGGATAGCAATGTCGTCCGCATACTCCAGGTTTGTCAGTCGGTTATTCGGCAAAACTTCCGGTAGTCTGAATGAACCGAGCCATTTCGATCCCAGAGTTGAAGATGAAAGGATACATAAGCCTGGCGAACCCTACTTGTCGTGGGGAACTCAGGATAAAGTTTCCCGTAAACCATTACACGGTCTCAGGAATCACGGTAGAGAGACTTCAGAATAGAAAAAAATTTAGCCGGCATGTCCTTCATAGAAAGGTAGGGTCACAGGCTGGCGCGGTCAAGAGTTGGAGACGCCTTCCACCATAATCGGTCGTCTTGTCTCGTGGAGAATAGTAAATATGTGGTCTATACAACTACGACCAGGACGAAAGCAGCCTGGCTTTCAATGATTCGGTCCTCACGAGGACCAGTAAGTCGTCTGAGTATGATGCCCGTGAGGAGTTTGGAGGCTACAGAAACAAGGCTCATGACTCGATGATTCTCGAACAAAGTGCGTTGACCCTTCTTGAAGATGGGCACGACAGTCTGAAGGCGCCATAAATAGAGGGCACCAACATTGACGACTGGAGGCCTATGCAGACATTCAACAAACTGTCGCAGCAACAGCAATGTTAGCAACCGGCGACATTGTTTTCCCGAGTTGTCCTGCAATGGAACTATGAACAGGTAAAGTACGATTGAGCGTAGAGAAGGAAAGAAGGATGTAGTGCACTACCGACAGCTGTATCTACATATAGAGCGTGAACCAGACGAAATAGGGCCAACAAGGATGTTAGTGGGAGTCACGATCGATTCGGAGCCGGTTTACACTCATTCCTTAAGCACAGACATCACTATCTGTGTATGAGTGAATGCGGATAACACAGCATGCTAAAGTCAAGACAAGACGGGGGACTCAGGTTGCCACATCGTGCAAGAGAATAACGGCTCACTTTGTGAACATTTGTTTACCGGGGAAGCAGTACCTCCTTATCACACACCGATATCAAAGTTGAATAGGCACATGGATGCTATAAGTACACAAGTCGGTGACTGCGCTGTGGCCCGGTGTGCGATAGAGAAACCCTGAACTCAACAGCGTCGCGCGAACTATGCACTAATTCCGCAGGTAAAAATCCTAGGTCTTACGAGCAGTAAGAGACTATCGACTACGTAAGCGGCGATGAGAGACAAGCGATGATATAGTCAGTCACGTAGGTAAAGATAAACTGTGTAAACGAGTTGCGAGCTGATAGCATCAATATCAGTGGCGGTGTGCGTACACCTATCGAAACACCAGTATTTTTCATGAATACAGTGAAAACAAACTGCCGGCTAATGATATCGGCCGTGCGTCCGTCGACACACGAATAACAGGTATGGCAGTTCGAATTTCAGTCTAACCAGTTCCCAAATCAGAAGGCAAAGGTCTCGTCAAAACCTTCAAACGAGCCCCGAACAATACAGCATTGTTTATAATCAAAAATGGATTTGATTACATAATTCAAAGAAGTGATCTGGAGAAAGGTTTCATGTTACCAGAAACTACCAAAGACCGGCAATCGCTCCTGTTGGTTGGTTGCAAGTCAAAAGTGCTGCCATTGGCCGACTCTCTTTGGAAAAGCGCTCTTACTGGCTGCTCTGAGCTTCGTTGACACTAGGCTCCGTTAACAATATCCTTTTGATGGGGTAATGATGAACGAGGAGAGTATCCACGTGAAAGTCGGATGATGTGTGACACTTGTGATTCATGCGGGGTTGACATATAAATTTATACACACACACAACAGGCTAGGATAAACAGGTTATTAATCAGTGTTCTGTTCCTGGAACGCATGTTGCGTGTTTCGATTATGAGGAATAACTTTGAAATGAGATCGTACGCAAAAATCCGCATTTAGTTCGCAAAACTCATTTGTAAGCTCTAAATCAAATTCATATTCTGGCCTCGCGCACTGTGAAGTTCAGCAAATTCTTTAGGCTGGTATACGCAAGAACCGAATCAAATGCTTCCGATAGACCAAACATCTTACACTGGTGCGCATCACGACGACGTTAATGACTTCAGGACACCAGTCGCACGTCGGAAAGTTGAGTAACCGATATAATGCTTTTGGACGGAGCAAGGCCAAAGAAAATAGTCTCGATTATCAGTTCGACAAGTCTCAGTCACAAAACAGTCACTGAGACGATGTCCTGGCTTAAACAGCCGAATCGCTTGGGTATTCATATTGCTTGCAACGACAGAGGTATACGCACTTATGGCCATTCAAATTAAGAAGGTTGTTCGTAGAATTCACCTCATTGTCCTCCGAGCATGAATCGAGACAACACGATGTCCTCGGCGATTTCTAAATAATCCAGATAAACCTCAAATTATAATCCCGCATTTGCGGCCCGTTCAGTGAGATTCATCCTACTACAGCAGTCTCCACACGTTTGATTAGAACAACCACACCACAAATGTCGTGAAAAAGGAGTACGGTACTACCAGAGATGCGAGCAGAATCTCGTACAAGCAAATGCACAAAGGTAGTGCCGCCCAATATATTTGTTGCAAAGACAATGCACATCAACTTCAAAAGAGCGCGAGGTCCCAGCAAGTTTCCCTGCTGCACGATCTGACTTAGTGCGCGGACGTTGTAAGATACAATGTGGAATGGCAACACGAAATTGAAAAATGACATTTCTCTAGCTGCTGCGACTGATGGAATCAGCAGCGGCTTTCTAGGTAACGCAATAAGAAAATATGTGAAAAGGGAAGGAAACACAACAAAATCAGATAACTAATGGAAGTGTCTGAACGGAGCCGATCTCGAAATGCCTGTGTCTACAACCGGCTTGTTGGAAGAAGGGAAGGCCAAGTATATCGCAAATGATTGAGTTTTCATTGTCAAACTCCAAGGTGAACTCAATTCAGTTGAGTTAAGCAACAGTTATCTAGGTATCAAAGTGTGGTAGATTTTGTTGCCATAAGGTGTGTGGCCATAAAAAACACTATTTGGTAAGTGAACTAGAGAAGGCCAGTGTCACTAGCAGTACCAGAGTTGTGTTCCAACGTGTTGCGATTCCGAAATATACATTTAACTGTTCATGCCCAACCGAAGGAAAAATCAGAACGCAAGTGAACTTAACAAAGTAACGTGTTAACCGCCGCCAAAAGAAACTGCACAAGAGAAGCAGACTTTGGTCGTACTAATAGGTTACTTAGTGACATTCAGCTTCTGGAATAGCAAGGTCAACTGGCAAAATTAACAGTGCCATGCCGATGTAGCCAATCTTTCAGAGGTTGGCGGTCACGTGCAATCTTTGAAACAGTCCAGAAAGTTCGAAATCGATGGGATATTCAATAAAAGTCCATTAATAGTTGAAATAATGGTTTTTTCGGGAAATCCCTACCTTCTCCTGAACAAGAAACCGGGAAAATACAAGTTTCCGAAAGCGGGATTGTAGCCCAGAAAATGGAAAGCTGATCTACTCTCAGTCAGAACGACTAGAACGCAGGATCCAGAACACTGAGAAACAATGCAGCCAAATCGACGCGTCAGAATTGCGAGTCGGGTCCTACGAACTCATCGTAAAGCTGAGGTAATAAGTCCCACCATCGATCAGATAAAACACGATCTGATGGCACTGAAGTGGAATGGAATAACTAGCGTGGTGGCAAATTATTGGCTATCTTAGTCGATCAGTTCGCCACTATATAGTGGGATGATAAAGTGCCGTATTATCGGTAGTTACTGGCCATAATTGCAATCTTTATAAAGTGTTAACAGAACTAGAGTCAGTGAGACCTCGACTGACTACAAAGTGCCCACGTGTCCATCCTTCAACCGCTAACTGATCGTAAGTCAGAAAAAAATAAACAGAACGCCTCTTACCCGATAGGTAGTGCATTGACTCCACTTACACAGGCTCTTTAAACGCACCAATACAGCCCATTCATGGTATAATTATTGACCTGGATACCACCTCTGATAGTGCTGATCTATTTTAATAGCCTACGTCCGTGACGACGGAACCCGAAAAAAATTATATTCATAAATCAATGCACGAAGACTCTCTTGGTTGATGTAAGAGTTTACGGGAAACCCTTCTAAAAGATTTCCACTACAGGTGGAGCGGAGGTTGCTGTCCCATGGTTCCACTTCGCATCAACATCGCAATCAAAAAATTGTGAACGACTCTCCTCTAACTCCAACTTTTTCTCAAATAGATGTTCTACTGGGCGATCGACCTTCAGACCTAGAGTATGCAAACGAGATAGCTTTCTTTCGGTTGAATCCTGCTGCTACGCAAGCGTTATTGAAAAGGTTGGCATAGAGTGCCGTATGTTCTTTACACTTTAAAGGTGCAAATGATCATTGTGGTTCAGGGACGACTCAACTACAAGTTCCATACATATTGAACAGCTGTTGGAAGCGGTTGAGAGGTTTAGTTAACTGGGTAGCTTTAGTTCCTCCGTTGATAGCATTATTCAAAGCATGTTGTGCATTGACGAGGCTCGTGGGGCTTATCGAAGTCTGTCGATTATAGACCATATGATGCGATGTTGTTGATTTACAACACTACGGCGGGATCAGTGTTACTGTGAGAAAGAGAGAGCTGGTCGCCGAGCGCTGAGGAAGTTGACATACTTGCCGAGTTTGGCCGCGAAAGTAGGCGAAATATAGCCCAGATGTATTGGGAGTAGAAAATGAGTAATACAGTCGAACCTGTCTAAGGTGACCAA